TTATTTTTGTGACAGCTGAGATTAGTTTTTACTTACCATTATTTTTGTGACAGCTGAGATTAGTTTTTACTTACCATTATTTTTGTGACAGCTGAGATTAGTTTTAACTTACCATTATTTTTGTGACAGCTGAGATTAGTTTTGACTTACCGTTATTTTTGTGACAGCTGAGATTAGTTTTTACTTACCATTATTTTTGTGACAGCTGAGATTAGTTTTTACTTACCATTATTTTTGTTACAGCTGAGATTGGATTAAACCAGCGTTATATAACCAAGGAAAATGGCACTGTCCTGGTTATTCAAAATATACAGAAAGAGTTTACCGGCAGTTTCCAGTGTATGTCATACAACAGCGAAGGAACCTTCATGCGTGATGCTACACTTGTTGTGATAGGTAGGTCACTTATCGCACAAGGTGGTGTTCTAATCAATTCATTTAGTCAATTATTGTATAACATGAAATGTTCTTTGTGTATAAACATTCATGCTTTTCGTGGTTGTTATTTACCCACGAAAGTAAATACAACAAACTTGAATGTGATGTACGTGTCTACTGTTTGTTAATATAGGATATCCACAAAAGATCTAAACGGCTTTCAAACCACGAAGGAAAGTCCCTACAAACTTTTCTTGTGATACAGTATTAGCCGTTTTACCTCCGACTCTGACTAATGGATTATCATTTTCTGTGATCTATAATGGTTTGATTATACTACTAAACTTTTAAAGTTCTTGCCATTTTGGACGAGACCTGAAAAATTGATTAAACAGTTTTACTCTGAAGTTTAACCAAACAACAACGTATATATATATCTGTCTGTAGCCAAGTATTTAAATGGTATCCACTACATTTTACCATTTTGGTAAATGCATCTATTTCCATCCCTTTCCTTCTATGATCAATCTTTGATCGTTTGAGAACCAGTGATAATGGATCTTCAGTGTCACTACTATGTGGTACCTAGGGACCATGTGGGAGGTGTGTGTGCAGCTTTTATCATTAGCAATCCATCTTCTAACTTGGTCAGCGATGGACAATTCTGCTCAGACAAAAACTACATATCTATCAAACAATTTTGATATTTTATGAACTTTTCATTTGCGTAAACAGTGACAAAAGTTACAAATAATTGCTTGTCAACACAGAAAAAGACGTGCACGGCACGGTAGACATACAATAGATTTAAGTCAGTCTGAGCCACACAGAGGTCGGTGGTTTTTCTCCAGGAACTCCGGCTTTTCTCCACCACTAAAAATTGGCACCTCCTTAAATGACCATAGCCGTTAAATGGACGTAAAACACAAACAAATCAAACCAGTTTATAGTGACAATTGTGCATGTGTTTACATGTATGAACACACACTTCTTATCTTGTATACATTTTAGTTTTTGTACCTCATGCTAAAGCTTTTATCCCTTACATACATCTATTTTGAAAATATATGTATTAAAACAACTGAGCTCACTACAAATTTAATGTACTAGATGTATTGTTAAAGATAGCCAAAGCATAATATGTGTTGTTAAATGATAAATCTCTAGTCTTTATCTACATACATGTTATCTATATGTTTATGGTTTTCATCAAGTTGTGGATATGTCGTGGATACTGACTTTGAAATCTCACGTGGTCCCTAAGTACCACTGAGTAGTGAAACAGAATCTAGAAATGAAATATCAGACTTGCCTGTAAGTTGAAATTTGATTATAATTCTATTTCACTGCTGAGATCATGTGCCCACCCTATAACCCACCCTTTGGTTAACTTTATTATTATTAGCTCACCGGGTCCGAAGGACTAAGGTGAGCTTATGCCATACCGTGGCGTCCGGCGTCCGGCGTCCGGCCTTCCGTTGTCTGTCCGTCAACATTTCTTTAAACAACTTCTTCTTCTTAACCACTGATTGGAATTTAACTAGATTTGACTGGAAGCATCCCTAGGTGGTGGGGATTCAAAATTGTACAAAGGGTGTGGCTGACCCCCCAGGGGGCCGAGGGGCGGTGCAAAAAGGGGGCAATTTGGCTATATTGCTTTAAGCGACATCTCCTCTGGAACTAAGAGAAGGATATCAACCGTATTTGACTGGAAGCATCCCTAGGTGATGTGGATTCAAAAATGTACAAATGGTTGGGCTGACCCCCCAGGGGGCTGAGGGGCGGGCCAAAAGGGGGCATTTTGACTATATTGCTACAAACGACTTCTTCTGTAGAACTATGCATTGGATATCAATCATATTTAATCAGAAGCATTCATGGGAGGCAGGGAATCAAAATTGTACAAATGGTGTGGCTGACCCCCGTGGCGGCTGAGGGGCGGGGCCAAAAAGGGTTATTTAGCTATATTACTTTAAGCGACTTCTTCTCAGGAACTAAGAGATAAATATCAACCATATTTGACTGGAAGCATCCCTAGGTGGTGGGAATTCAAAATGTACAAACGGTTGAAATCCCCAACCCAAAACTATATATACAAATGCTGGGCAAAAAGAGACAAATGCAGGCACAATATTAGAATTGATCCTGGGGTCTGGCCACAACCCTAGGGACCTAGTTTCTGAGTCACAGCTTGGAAACAGTTGAGATCCCCACCCCATAACCATACATAAAATTGCTGGGCATAAAAAATCAAATACAGATATGCTACAATGATTGGCCTTGGGGTCTGGCATATTCCCTTAGATCTCATTTGGAGAATATTTTGCCATGATTGCTTAGATATCCAGGTGAGCGATACAGGCCCTCTGGGCCTCTTGTATATATATTATATATATATATTATATCATTGTATTGGATAAATACCTATTTAGTATCCACTCTTGTTAAATAATGATAGAAGATGCACGCGCGCACGCACCTCTCACGTGATCCCTAATGTACCCTCAGCAGTGAAACAGATTTATAATCAAATTTCAACTTACAGGTAAGTCTCATTTAATTTCTAAATGTTGAAGCAATTTTCAGTACTACTACACACGATAGTACATGTACAAGACATTGGTTACATTAGGGTCATAGGTCAAATATATACCGTGTGTTACTTGTTATAGTTGTATATCAGAAAAGTGGTACCATAAATTAACACAAATAATATTGTCATCACAATACGAAATGAAATATCATTGTATTGATTCTGTTTTGCATAAGGTTATATTTATGTATCAGCTAAAAAATAACCATAGTGTTGGGCATCACTGGTAGATTCATACTCGATCTTCACTTCAAATCAAGTGACTGCATGATGATCGACTAATGATTAAATTGAACTTAAATTCAGTAATTTAAGGTTATATTCGCTTTCCGAAATCTACTTTCACTTTTGTTTCGGGGGGAGACCAGACGTTAGAGAATTTCGCTAATAATGCACAACATTCATACAAAAACAACACGTTTGTCAACAGAACCTTATGATTATTGAAAAATATGTATTTGGAAATGAAATTGATGATGTTTGCAATGTCCATTATGCTGTGACAGCTGCATTTCGTGTTCAGAAATTCCGCGATGGATTGGCATTCACCTGATGACACCCCGTCAAACTTAACATTTTATTTGTAAGATAGCCAACACTTTCCACAAAGCGTTTTATTTATATCAAGCTAAGGAGGAACAATACCTTCCAAATGTTTATGATCCTGATGTTCATATAATTTAATCTCCGAAATGTCCTTGTTTGCCATATTGTCACGTACTGACCGAGCCATACAGCATTTCTATTGAAACGCAAGTTCTGATTGGTTGTCGGGTGGACCAGCTAGCCAATCAGCGTTGTCGTTGTGTGGGACGTTTTTTTCTTAATACTTAATTAGTCAAACTGTAATCGATCCTGGAATACAAGGATTGATTAATCAATTTTCAGAAACAAACAACCAGACGTCAATAACGGGAACAACACTAGATAACCATACAACAAGGCTATTACTAAATGTGGGAATCGCTTTAAAATATCAAGCTTGATAATTGGTTCAGTTAAATCTGTATTAACAAGTGATTTTTTGAGATTTACAGCATTTCATGTTTCATATTTACTGAAATTAAACACTAATCCAGGAAAGTTAACACTTTTTTCCTGTGACAGTTTATTGTGATAGGAATTCCGATACATTCTATTGTACACTTGTATTGTGTTACTTTTGATACACTTGGGGTGTACTTATACTACTCTCCAGCTGGCATATCATGACACTGCTAAGACCTGTGGATGAATATACTGTATAGGTTACTTCAGACAAATGGTTTGAATAAAAATAATCTTGAATAATTCCTCAATAATTGTCAAAAGTACACATCTGTGTGATCCTTTTTGATAAAACAAAAGAATGTTACAAAGTATAAATTTATTTGTTATATGTGATAAAGGCCCTCTGTGCCATTGGTTTTAGTACTATATACCTATTAATAGTGGCAGTATAAGAACAGTTCTGCATTTAGTCACAATCTCGGGCCTGAAAATACAGTTAGTGGGAATATACCATGAATGTTGCTCTTTAACCCTTTTACTGCTGTAGACCATAATGGACTTATCAAGATGAATGTATGGTAGATTCTACTTAAGTTACCTAGGGGTGGATAGGTCAGTGTCTGTTGTAGACCTTAGACCATAATGGACTTATCAAGATGAATGTATGGTAGTGTCTACTTAAGTTACCTAGGGGTGGATAGGTCAATGTCTGTTGTAGACCTCCATGGACACTAACAATGGGACAAGTAATGTTTTGTGATAAATAACTGCCAGAAAATGCAAGGAAACCCAATCAAACCTGATCACGAAACCAACAGGTTAGTTTTTGATGACTTATTTTAAGACAAAGTACTTTTATTAAAAGCTTCAGAGAATAATTTTGGTACAATAATGTTTTGTAGAACCCATCCTGGTCCAGATCTCCCCACCTCCCACCATGGAAATCTTACCTAAGGACGTGAAATACCTTGATGTGGCTGCCACAACTGACCCTCTGTTTACACTCAGGTACAGTTGGTCCTTCACCAACGGGGACGACGAACACTTCTATAATAACGATATCGGCTCCGACTTTGGCAGCAACTTTCCACCAGAGCTCACACTCTCTGCTGACAGGCAGAACCTCACGATTGATGGCAGCAATTTGGATGGAGGAGACATCTATAAACTTGTTGGTACCTATTCCCTTCGGGTTTACCATAATCATGATGCAGTTGACTTTGTTACGGATATGAAGACGGACGCTAGTATAACTCGTAAGTATATACCACAGTGAAAGTCTAACAGATACTGGTATTACCTGTAAGTATATATATATAAACCACAGTGAAAGTCTAACAGATGCTGGTATTACCTGTAAGTATATATATATAAACCACAGTGAAAGTCTAACAGATACTGGTATTACCTGTAAGTATATATATATATACCACAGTGAAAGTCTAACAGATACTGGTATTACCTGTAAGTATATATATATAAACCACAGTGAAAGTCTAACAGATACTGGTATTACCTGTAAGTATATATATATATACCACAGTGAAAGTCTAACAGATGCTGGTATTACCTGTAAGTATATATATATAAACCACAGTGAAAGTCTAACAGATACTGGTATTACCTGTAAGTATATATATATATACCACAGTGAAAGTCTAACAGATACTGGTATTACCTGTAAGTATATAAATATATACCACAGTGAAAGTCTAACAGATACTGGTATTACCTGTAAGTATATATATATATATATATACCACAGTGAAAGTCTAACAGATACTGGTATTACCTGTAAGTATATATATATATACCACAGTGAAAGTCTAACAGATACTGGTATTACCTGTAAGTATATATATATATATATATACCACAGTGAAAGTCTAACAGATACTGGTATTACCTGTATATATATATATATATACCACAGTGAAAGTCTAACAGATACTGGTATTACCTGTAAGTATATATATATATATATATACCACAGTGAAAGTCTAACAGATACTGGTATTACCTGTAAGTATATATATATATACCACAGTGAAAGTCTAACAGATACTGGTATTACCTGTAAGTATATATATATATAAACCACAGTGAAAGTCTAACAGATGCTGGTATTACCTGTAAGTATATATATACATAAACCACAGTGAAAGTCTAACAGAAACTGGTATTTCTCTTGAATATGTCATAGCAAAATTGAAGGCTCAGTGTGCGCCGTCCTGGGGCTCAGTGTGCGCCGTCCTGGGGATGACACGAATAGGCTAGTTTGAAGACTATGTCAGTTACGTAACGGTAAAACCTGGCTTTGAAGTCGGGCGTCTCCTCTCGTAATCTTCAAAGGACAGGTATTAGCCTAGCGATTGGTCAGAGGTCAGGTATCAGCCTAGCGATTGGTCAGCGTTTTTAACCTGCGGCCAATTTAATAACTAGCCGTCTGCCTTCAATTTTGCTATGACATATTCCAGGGGTGCCGAGAGCAAAAGTGAGTGTAACCCCTGGAGTATCGAGGGTGGTGAGGATATAAACTAGTAATACCAGCATTGCCTGTGTAGTAGTAAACCCTTGTACTTTAATATCTGAATATTTTAGCATTGAAGTTCAAAAAATGATTTCAATCTTTATATGGGTAAGAAAAAAATGAATCATACATAGCAGTAATTCTTCTAACTCAAGTAATATATGTTAATAAAAATAACAAAAATCAGCTAGAAGTCGGGTTCGACAAGGAATATTAACTCATTCATCCTATTCAAAGGTTGGGAAAGTTCATTATGAAATTTCAGGGGTGAATGAGTTAACATCATTTTTAACTTCATAAGTAACTACAGCATTGAAATGTACCCTATTTTTGACTTGATAATTTCTCGTTTTAGCTGCTCCTGTTGTAACAAGTTCAGCAGGAGGTTTCAACCCCATCATCATCGCGATAATCCTTGGAGTCATAGTCCTCTTTATAGTCATCTTCCTCATCGTCTTCCTCCTATACAGGAACAGAGGAGGTACCTACCCATGTAAGTGTACACTCGACGACAGCAAGCTCATACTACAAGGCTTGGTGACTGTTTGTCTGCTTATAAAAATAACCATTTGATACGCCCCTCAAAATTCTTGATTGGACATTTATATGGTATGGGGAGTATCCGTCATGTACACTTGGGTTTCCACAGGATAACTTGCTTAAATATCATTCAATTTTTATGAAACTTAGTAAACATGTACATTATATATATACAAATGCTGAGGCTAAGTTGGAAGTTGAGAGCGAAATCTGTGCATATTTAATTAGCATACTGTGCTCTGATTGGTCAATATCCACAAGATAGCTGTATAATAATTAAATAAATCAAATATGATCCATTCTGATGAAGTATTTATATTATACAAAAACAAAAGCAAAGTTCAATTACAACTTCTATTTTCATGGTTTAATATGTTGACTGAATGCACTTCGGACAAGAACTGTGCCAAAGATTTAGGTAGAGCCAAAAATGCACAGTTTCGAAGATTGTAACCAGTAAATAACAATACATCAAGAATATTATGTCCTTCTTTCACATGTGCACTTAGTTTTATAACAATTCCTAATATATACATGTGAATCGTACTTGTGTTATGGAGAAATAATGCAATATAGCAATAGTCAGTATTTTAGTTTCTGTCGGGCACGTCTGGACCCCTCCATAGGCATGTGCCGAATATTCTTCAAGTCAGCCACAGTTCAGATGTTGGTATGTCATGCTTGCCAACTCTCCCTTTGTTAGAGGGAGACTCTCGACTTGAGCATTTTCAAGCAGTGAGTTTGCTCAACTCTTCATATTGTCTAAGAACTGATGATTTTATCTGACAGAACAGCTCAAAACATGCCATTGAAAGTGTTGTTTTTCCCTAGGGTGAACATACATACATTATATTTATGCTTTTAATTCTGAGCATGCGCAATCTCCCCCATGGATATTAAAGTTGGCAAGTATGGTATGTAGTTTACATTTCTTATAGGTTCAGCTGGTGGAAATGGTTGAACCCGGTAAATACAAAAGGGGCCTAAGGGTATTAAAGTGATAGAAAGCTTATCTCCCCCGACTAACACCTCAAAGGAATCTAGGTCCCTTTCGCATATCCTGTTCAACCAGTTGAAACGGGTTGTACCTGTAAGAAAACAACAGGCGCAGATATAAACCGAGGCTGACATCAGGAATATTTGGCACTTGTTGATTGAAAGGTCCAGATGTGCCTTAATAAAACAAGGTCAACCACATGTAGAATTTAATATCGTGGAATATTTCTGCGCCATCTGAACTGTAGGTGCTATCTTAGATTTTCCCCCTTTATTTCACTATAAATGTTGTATTATTTCCAGTGGATAAGAAGGAGTTGGCCGCTGGACACGACCCAGAGAAGGAATTGGCTGACAGTGGCTTCCATGATCTTTCACGAGCGTAAGTAAACTTTCCAAAAATTCCACAAGCATGGTAAACTTTCTGACTGTACAAGAATTTCTTTGACCTTTCACAAGCTAGGGAGCACATAGTGTTATACTTGTCCGTCCCCTCCTGTCTCCATTTATTGTCATCAACCTACTGTCTCCATTTATTGTCATCAACCTACAGTCTTCATTTATTCTCATCAACCTACTGTCTTCATTTCTTCACATATTCTGATCAAATTTCTTCAAAAACGTGAATACTTTAGCTAACATTTATTCTGGGTGCCAATATCAAGGTCAAGGTCATTTACTATTAATAGAAATTTGTCATCCAATTTGACGTCATCACATGAGTGACATCATTTCCAAACAGAATCAAATTTAATAACCTACCTCTGATGAGTTGCTGTTTAGGGTGCAAAGGTCGAGGTCATCCTTACCCATAACAGGAAACATGTCTTAGCAATCCGCCATCTTTATTTCATGAAAGATTTTGAACATCACATAATGAATATAAAGAAAATCATCTGAACAACTAAATTGATTAATTATGATAGAACATGAAATGAGTTTGTATTATACAAGATGCTAAGGTTTATAATTAAGTCACCATTGTTGTTTTTTTTTTAAAGATGTTGGTTATACCCATAAGAATCTCTTACCTGTACAAACAGCTGGTCTTAATATTTTATTACTTGTACAAACATATAAATAACTCTGAATTGATGTCCACAAGTTTTACCCAGCACTGCATCAAAATTAAGAAATTTCAATATGAATTATGACTCTGTTTAGAGATACAATGTGGTTACCTGTGATGATAGGAGTTAAAACAATGCCTACTGCACTGTAAGGTTCAAATGTTGTTAGGTTAAGACCCCCCCCC